CCAGGCTCGCACTCGAGGGGGCTCGGCAAACAAACCCCTCCTTCCGAACGAAAAGGATGCGCGAGGGTCGCATAAAAAGTCAGGGGAACTCTTGACCGCCCTCTCGCTCTGTGCGGAGGCTCGGGGGCTCTCCCTACAACCTTGCCGGGACCCAACGACCCAGGCTCGCACTCAAAGGGGCTCGGCAAACAAACCCCTCCTTCCGAACGAAAAGGATGCATGAGGGTCGCATAAAAAGTGAGGGGAACTCCTGACCGCCCTCTCGCTCCGTGCGGAGGCTCGAGGGCTCTCCCTGCAACCTTGCTGGGACCCAACGACCTAGGCTCACACTCGAAGGGGCTCGGCGAACAAGCCCCTCATTCCGAACGAAAAGGATGCGCGAGGGTCACCTAAAAAGCCAGGGGAACTCCTGATCGCCCTCTCGCTCCGTGCGGAGGCTCGGGGGCTCTTCCTGCACCCAAAACAAAAGCAGGCCACCCAAGCTCGCACTCAGAGATTCGGAAAAACGCGACAAAAAGGGCGCCGAGCCCGTTACGGTCTAGGGGTTCGAAGGCTGGACCCCCGAGGGTTTCGACAGCCGCCCCAGGACAACAAAGTCAGGGACAGCTATGGGCGAGCCCATACATGGCCGAGGCCCGAGCAAGTGATCGCTCGGGATGCCCTAAGTTGTGTCCGAGACCAGCGGGGAGTTCTCTGAATGGGATCCCACCGTAGGGAGGTGCCGAGCCCCCGGGGCCAATCGAACGGCCCTGGGACCCATTAGAGAAGCCCTCTGGTACTTTTGGAGTGCGTCTCTAGACCACTAGCCGACCCCTATCGAATGGGGCACGGGCCTCCACTCGGATTTACCCGATAGCGGCTCACCGGAAGTGTCACCGCTCGCGCCCACCAAGGGTAGCCTGGCATATTCCACCCCTCCTTCCTAGCGAAAAGGATGTGCGAAGGTCGCATAAAAAGCTAGGGGTACTCCCGACCGCCCTCTCGCCTCATGCGGAGGCTCGGGGGCTCTCCGCAACTAGGCCAAGTCCCAAGGCCGACCAACTCGCATTCATGGGCCTGGCAAACATGATAAAACTCCTTGCTCAATGGAGAAAAAAGCCCCTGGAGGAGTAAACCCACTCCTCCAGGGCCTCGGGGGCTACACCCGGTGGGTGCGCTCGCGCGCACCCCCCGGAACCACCAAGTACAAAACACAATCCCGACGGGAGCTGCTATGAGCCAAGTCTTGTCAAAACCTTGGGAGAGTGACCGCACTCCTCCCGAGGCTCGGGGGCTACTGTCGGATACCACAAGAAGGGGTACCCTAAGCAAGAACCAAAAATATTGCTTAAGCCTTGCAAAAATCAAAGACAAAGGACAACCACGAGGTCTCGGCAGATTCTCCGACTCGCCCAAGGCTTGCGCCGAGGCCTCAGACGAAAGGCCAAAGCCCTCCGCCCCGCCGAGGCCCTCTCACCGAGGCCCCGTCCCGCAAGGCCTCGGACGGGATACCAATTCTCCGATTCACCCGAGGCTGGGCTCGGCAACAACCTCGTCACCTCCGTCCCGACCGACTCCTCTGACAAAACGTTACATCCAGTTAATGCGCCCCACTACTCCCCTCAGCGAACGCCACCGCGTTGGCGCTTGCAAGAGCAGAGAATGACCGACGGGACAGGGGACGGGCGCAGCAGGGTTACCGCCTGTGCTCATCATGTGTCCCTCACGACACCCAGTACTACCTGTGCTACCTAACTCCTGCGCCAAGGACAAAGTGGCGTGGAGGGTCAAGTCCGGGTTCCTGTAGTCTCGGAATCAGCATGAAAGACCAACTGTTCGTCCTCCGCCTCGTCCGAGACCCCCCGGCAGGGCCTCAGACGTACTATTCCTTCTCCACCTCGGCCAAGGCCGGGCTCGTCCCGCATCCTCGTCGCCTCCGCCTCAACCGTTCCTCTGGCGAGCCGTCCCATCCGTTTAAGTGCGCCTGATCACACCTACTACTACGCCGCCCACGATCGGGTGGGAGGACAAAGAACAGGGCGATGGGACAGCGGTCAAAACTCCTTTTTACCATCCCCTACTGACGGTGCAGGGGTTATCGTGCCATGTGGACACACGCTCCGCACTTTTCCACCTGAACCGGGTACGACGCTGACCACCGAGACCCCCGCATCATACACGGGTCACCTCCGAGGCCTCGGCAAAGCAGGCCTCGACACGATCAGCTACATCACCCGCCAGGCCTCGGCACTCCACCAAGTCAAGAACCCACAAGGCACGACATGTCTCCTACAGTGGAGGCCATACTGACTAGACGTCAACAAGGACTCCCACGACCTCAACAACCTCGGGCCTGGCCAGCACGGCGCGCCAGTCAAGTACCAATCATCATTCCCAACACTATGCTGCTACAGGACTGAACTATAGTAGGCTCCACGTGTAGCTCACTCATGTACTTCTGGCTTCTTCCTTGCGGTTATAAAAGGAAGCAGCCAGGGATAGCTCTAGGGGGCGAAAAAACATACGAAAGAACCACGCCCTCACACATGCCCAAGTAACACACGTGCTCCCAAGCTGCTTGAGAGCAACGTCTCAACCGGCCCGCACCGTTCCACGCCGAGACTTGGGACTAGCTCCCTCTCTCACCTAGCTTGTAACCCCCTACTACCAGCACTTCGGTGCAAGGAATACAAGATCGATCTCTCAGACCGGACGTAGGGCACCAATTGTCTAAACCAGTATAAACATTGTGTCTCTTTGCACCACCATCCGAAATTAGGGGCACGCAGTTCAAATTCACTGGTTGGTTGGGACCCTCCGGTCCGAAACACCGACAGTATTCAGCAACCATGCATTTACCTTACTTCATCCGTCCCGAAATAAGTGCACATCTTACATCCGAGTCCGAGAAGTCAAACGGTTTCTAGTTTGACTAGATTTATATAAAAAAGTATTGACATTTCTATCTCTAAATAAGTTAACTATGAAAATAAATGATATGATTAATCTAATGATGTTTTATATATATTTGGTTAAACTTGAGATTAGTTGACTCCTCAACTTGAGATGCGCACTTATTTTGGGGTGGAGGAGTTCGTCCTTACCCCGGAACACCATGAAACTGAAACTCCCCCAACCGCATTACAGCAAAGTAAAGACAACAGCACCATCCAAATTCAAGCAGGTAGCAGTAAAATTCAGAACCCCAAAGCGAGCAGCAGCATACGATACAGTAGGATGCACCGAGTTACAAAACGAAACAAATCGAACGACAGCCATTGTTAGTTAACAACTGATCACTTTCCAGAAGTCTATTGCTGCTCACAGCTCGCTGATGCAAAGTACCGGTTGCCAGAGCACGGAGCAGTCATACTCGCCGGCCGGTGCCCCGGGCCAACCAGCACCTTCTCAGCTGCGCCCACCACAACGAGGACGAGGATGCAGCGGAACCAGTATGTGACCCTTCTCCTCGTCATAGTAAGTCTGCACATGCACACACAGTCCAAACAGAGGAAGAGCGTTAGAACCAACACGATTAATTAGAGCACAAAATAAAACAAACTGGTCCTAGTTTAAAAGGAAAAGGGTCACGTACTGGTTCTGCTGATACAAAATAATACAGTATTATTTTTCTTATAAAAGAGAGATCTCATAACATGTGGGTCTCCACTGCCGGTTCAGTAGAAACACCTAAAAATCAGTTTGAAATGGTCAAGAGATATTTTGTCCTTCTTTAAAAGTTAATGGAGTGTATTTTTCTCCAAATTCGGTGATAAGTTTATGAGTTGCCACCAATCATATCGTTCCTCAAACCAGCAAATGCACCAACCATTATTCCTACTAGTCTCCAATATATGGGATAATATAATATCCGAATGCATGGACCTTTTCATGGACTTGTATGGAACTATAAACAATCGAGTCCACGAGCCTTGTAAGAACTAGAAATAGGAGGCTAAGAAATTAATCCTTGTTTGTTGTTTCGTTTAGTGTTGTCTTCTCCCTCTTAATGAAATATGTGCTACATGACACGTTCGCTAAAAAGAAATTAATCCTTAATCCTGCAAACTATCTTCAGTAGGGACCCTAAATAGGGCACCTATTCTATCTTTTGGTGTAAGAGCAAAAAAAACTTAATTCAATATAATCCTAACTAATAAAGTCCCTAATTCTTGGAGCCCTCAAATCTTCCCACCTCAGCCCATCTCTTAGGGATGCCTATCTCCCTACTTCTTTCCAGGAAATTTCCCCCCTGTATCAACTCACTCGTGCATGTCTTTTTTTTATGCTAGCTCTCTCCCATGTCGTCGCCCTATTTCTCTCCCTGGTGAAGCCCCTCAACACATTCCACGTTTTTTTTGTCCCAACTCTCTCCCACGTTGCTGCCCTATTCCCCTCCCCCAACACGGTGTGGCTCCCCAGCAAAGCCCCTCAGCTCGGCGCGGCTCCCCTCCCAGGCGCTCGTCCTGTCTCTAGCTTGCTGATGCCTGTCCCTTTTCGGCAAGGCCCATTCAATGTGGCTGCTCTCCTCCCGACGAGGCACTCAACCCCGCCGCATCTTCGCTCCCCATGTCCCAGTGCTCCCCCTCCTCTCTCATGCCCTCATAGCTCGATTGGAACAATGGTGGATATAGCCAAATAACAAGTGGATCCTGTATGACAGTATCTACTAGAATGTTTTTGAGGGCTCGTACTTGAGCACTTTTCAAATATGAATTCATTTTCTAACTGGCTTTCATGCTTTGGTGAGTTGACCGAGATCATTTCGCTGACCACCCTCAAGAGTAGGAGAGCCCTCAAATCAAAAGTAGAGACGACTCCAATTTAAGTGTTTATACCGAAGTTGCTCTAGAACACCTAAAGGGTACTAATATTAACACAAAACAGCACTAATCTAAATAATTGATACCCCGGTTTTTTCATAGTCTAAACTAATACGTGTAATGCAAAAAAAAGTTAAATTCGGGATTTTCGAATTATTATCGAGAGAAGATAAAATGCTGTGTTGTGCTTGAAGGATTTCAAGTTGGTGGCTGGCACCCGACGTCATCTATCGTCTGACTCTGATCCACCACGACCACGACGTAACAGGACAACAGCAAAGTAGTAGCAGCAACTGCACTGGTTGCACTCGTCATGGAAGGGGAGAGAAAAGAAAAAAAGATGCTTACATCGATACCGTCGAACACGTGGAACCAGGGCTCGGAGCCCGTGCAGCGAGCGCAGTAGCGGCCGTCGCAGACGTCGATGCGGAAGGTGTCGTGGCCGCTGTGGTGCGCGCACAGCGCGGCGGAGAAGCCCGCGCGGCAGCTCACGCAGAACGAGTCCCTGCCCCTGCTGCTGCTGCCGGGTTCGGCTTCGGCGCGGACGACGACCTCGTGGCCCTGGCCGCGGTGGTGCGCGCCGCAGCAGTGGTGGCAGAAGGCGGCGGCGCAGGGAACGCAGAAGCGGTCCTCCTTGCAGCTGGCGGAGAAGTCCTCCGCGAGGAGCCGCTTGATCCACCCGCCGCTGGCCTGCGCGCGTGCGTAGAGAGCAACATATATATGCGCCGCCGACGGGTCGCGTCAGCGCCCAGCAGAAGTAGTGGCAGAACAGACGAGCGAGATCGTACAAAGGAACCACGCGGGGAGAAGAATCACTCACCCAGTCGTTCGCCATTGCTGAGATCAAGGAGAGGGGATTCGATCGCAATCGGGTTTCGTCGGGGACTCCGGGCAGATAGCCAGAAACACAGGGCGTTTATGAAGGTGGGGGTTTATGGCCTGAGCTGATAGGCATATATATATATATATATATATATATATATATATATATATATAAAAGGCCACCAACTTTGTAAAATAAATATTTCTCTTGAAAATTGTTGATTTTTTTATACTCATAGATCGTGACCAACGGCTCAGATTCATTTGGAAACCCTAATCCTACCTTCGTTTCTTGTCCACCCACCCCCTCCCCAAACGCCGCCACCCCGCTCCTCTACCAACTCATTGTAACGGTCATCTATACTAGTATGGCGCACCTTCATAGAATCGTGACCCAACGCCTCAGATTCATTTGAAAACCCTAATCCTACCTTCGTTTCTTGTCCACCCACCCCCTCCCCAAGAGCCACCACCCCCGCTCTTCTACCAACTCATTGTATAGGTCATATATACTAGTGTGGTGCACCACACTTTACTATTCATATTAATGATGCATACTTTTTCTGTCTTTCTCTAGAACTATTGACCGTTGTGTCTACTCATCTACGCTTGCTATTTATACTAGAGCTACAAAATTACCTACTTGTGATGTGTATATATTATATGATCACCAGCACACAGCAAATAGTATTTTTATTTAAAAACCGTGGATTTTTTATATTTAGTGGATCATGGCCGAACGTCCTAAATTATGTAGTTTGTTTATGTGGAAACTCTAACTCTACTTTTACCAAAGTTCCACCACCCCACTCTTCGATTCTCTACCAACTCATTGCAACGGTAGTCTACCCTACTATGGCATATCACACCTTTTTTTATATTTGTGCAATGTGTTCGCTAGCTCTCAAAACTATCACATAGATGATGCACCTCTCTTAACTTATATCCTTCTCTAGAACTACCGTCGCTACTTACTCGATATTGTATGCCCATATTTTTCACTAGAGCTTCAAAACCACATCTTATATTTCCTTATTGCTTGTGCCATGTGTTCGCTAGCTCTCAACCGTCGCATAGATGATGCACCTCTCTTCTATCCTTCTCTAGAACTACCATCGCTACTTACTCTTGTCTGCCCATATTTTTCACTAGAGCTTCAAAACTACCTACTCCAATCTATCCACTTGTCAAGCCAGGATGGACCGAACGAAAAAAGCCTAGGATTTTTGGCTAGAGAACTCGTGTGCCCATTAACATCTACATGATCGGGCCTGCTACTGGGAAAATATCCAGTGCTCCAGAACTTGAAGCAACATGCAAATAGTCATGAAAAATTATAACAAGTTTGGATGCTGTTGGATATGCTACTCCCTCTGTTCCAAATTAAATTAAAACTATTTTAAGTTTGATCAAATTTATAAAAAAAAATAGTACCGATATTTATAACACTACCAGATACACTATGAAATATATTTGAAATACATTTTTATTAGTGTGCTTATTTGGTGTCATAGATGTTACTCTTTCCTATAAAAGTGACCAAACTTTAATTTGACCTACAAAGTTTTTCCATACTTGACGATACCTATAGTTACTTGCGTTAACAAACTTGCTAAAAAAAACTTACGTTAACAAACTTTTTCGTATTTTCTCTGATTATCTGCATGCCGCTTATAAAGACTAGAAATTTGGAAGTGCCAGCTATGGTCTCGGCTGAGCACAGCCAGCTCTGCCTTTTGCAGGAAGAAGCAGGGTCCTAACCTATATTCAGCTCTCTGCCTTTTGTCGGAAGAAGGGTCCTAACCTTGAGAGATTACAGAGAAAACTCCGAATAGCTAATAACACTGGGGAATTCTCCGAACATAGCATGAACAAACACATGTACGAGATCGTATTCAGCAACCGGCCAGTCATTACCTTACCTTACGTCCTTGCCCGCATAGAACACCATGCAACTGACCCAACCGCATTACGGCGAAGTAAAGGCAACAACAGTTGTGGTGGGAGCACATGAATCCTACAGTGCCATGACCACCAGAGGCTCCCAGCCATTTGGACCAGCCACAGACATTGCAAACAGACAACACTGCAACACAGACCTAACTCAACCGGTTGAAGACCGATCGGTCAGTGTGGTCTTCTCCGCGGATGGCAACAACGGGTTCGGGCCTAGCTAGGCATATGACGGGCTTTTTGTACGTTCGTCTATGTAATCGTAGTCCGTTCCGTGAACTTTGCCACGATATCAACGTTCTCACGCTCACAGAAGGGTCTCACAGAGACTAATTAACCCACATCCATCCATCATCAAATGGAAGGAACGCTGCTGCATACACGACCAGGATCATTACCTATTTACCTTCTTCCTAAATCCCCACTCTGTTCACCTCTCCATTACTTGGACGAGAGCGCCTTGCGGACCCTGGAGCCCACCCTGGTCTTCCCTGTGGTCTGCTGGCCTATGTCCCCGGCCTTGGCATCCGCCGCTGTCGCCATTCCCGCCATGACGTCCGGCGGTGGCACAGGCACCGGCGGCCCCGTTGGCCCGCTGCCGGCCGCCACTTTACTGGTGACGGCTGGTAAGCGCACAGGAACCGGCTGCTCAGCCTGCGGTGCTGTGGCCGGGGGAGCGCCGCTGCCAACCGGAGCCGGCGACGGCGGCGTTAGTGGCCGCGGCGCGGCCGGCAATGGCGGGCCGCTGTGCTTAGCCTTAGGGGCAGGCCCAGGCGCAGCGCTGGCTCCATCACCGGCACCGGCGTCAGGCTTGGCAGCTCCTCCGCCGTCCTGGTGGCGGACGGTGAGGCGGCCGAGGGGCCGGAACGCTGGACGGGCGTGGAAGGCCCTCTGGAGCCTGTCGCAGATGCTCGGCGGCTTCCCGGCGGCGGGGGCCGCGGCAGCTGCAGCTGCTGGCTCCTTGTCTGCCTGCATCGCGCACAAAGCGCTCGCCAAAGTGCAGAATGTGAACTGCGACTTTTATAGGCAAATGGCGGTAGCTTGCTTACTGGTGACGTGAAACAGATGCAACTGTGCGGTGCAATTTATGTCCGTTCTTTTCAACTGATGCTCTGCGCACAAACTAAAGTGAGCTTCTATGAACCGACGAGAAGCGGCATCAGCATCACATTCCCCAGAAAAAAAGAATCTGCTTTTACATCATGTAAAAACGAATTTACTAAACAAATTGCGTGGCAGCAAAACTTTCAGTAAAAATGTTAGTGCTGCCAACTTCCAGAAACAGAATTCCTCGTGCCGCCAACAGGTTCAGAGGCGAATAACAGAGTATCGACGTTCTCACGACAATCTGTGTATACTTCGTTACCATTTACCAAGTGTTATGGATACAGCACATTGCGGCATAACTGGTGTTCATGTTAAAAATCAGATGAGGTAGGGTGAAAGAACATACTGTACTACTTAGTGCCTGACAGCTTGATATGATAGAACTGACTGAAGGTCAATTTGGTTGCCCAAAATTGTCAACTAAACCCAGCCAGAGGTATTACCTTTTCTCAGCACATGGTGGCATAGCCTCCAATTCCAAGAAGCAGGGCGCCAGAAGCTGCCAATGTCGCAGCCCAAATCTTGCACAACCTGTTGAAAAACAAGTGGCTTAGAGCAGGCAACAATATTTCAGAAACAAAGGGACCAAAATATTCTGAAGCGTCTTGGTACCTCGCGTCACTACCATGATTTGAGATAATTTTATCAATGCTGTTTCTTGAAACATGAAACGGTCCACCATTTGTTGGACGTTTAATCAGAATTTTACCAGATTGATCATCTTTAACAGCCTGTTCCAATTACATGAAAATACCAAAATATAGACTATAAATAAATATTACAGAACAGAAGACTCCCGCAGGTCTACCAACACATTTCTACCCAACTATAAGTGAAGTATTACCTCGCCAACAACAGTTAACTTAGCACCGATTGGAAGAATCCATTCAGTTCGCCTTAGTCCAAGTATCTGCAGAAAAATATATTACAAACAACCTTCCAGCTGGAAGCAGAACATAGAGTTTAAGTTATGTTAGCTGACCTTGATTGAGCATTCACATCCACATGAACGAGGTTGTTTCTCAAAATCCTCACTTGCAAGGCACAAAAGAGAACCATCTGTGCTACGATCCTTGACAATCTCCAACCGGCCAGTACCATCATCCTAGTAAAAGCAAGATATCAGAGAATATTTGAACAGGAAATTTTAAAGCCGGACTCACATGATAGATACTGTAGCACCTAGTTAGATGCTCAAAAGAAGATAAGATTAGACAGTAGACAGTGGAGTGTGGAAACAGAAAAATGAAATACAAAATGCCATAAATTATTTATGGATGAATATAATCCACAAGCATAAATCTATGTCTACACAAATCGCTAAATGTAACAGGTTTTTTTTCTTCGTAGGCAAAAAAAAATAACATATTTTTCATTAAGTATAGAATGACAGAAGTGCAATAAGGCATTTAAAGGAAGGCCGCCTGAAATTATATGCATCAACATCGCAATCAAGCTAGAGCTAGTTGCAGCAAATTACCAGATACCAAGGAACCTCTTTTCTTTTCGAAAATATCTCCTCAGAACATCGTATCCATTGGTCGGGATCATCATTTTCCCTATTCTTGAGGAATAAGTGTTCAGTGCCATCTTTCTCCTTTGTCTTCTTCACCACTATGTATTCCTTGACATCCTTCTTGTTCTTCTCCTTCTTCAAGAACATCTGAGTTACCTACAAAAAGGGCAGACACGTAACTGAAAGCACAAGAAGGTGGACACATCTTCAACGAACATAGGCTTTTTGTGAAATCAGTAGATACATCGTTTACTACAGTTGCAGCCTCCTGACCACTCTGTTCGCCTATGATTGGTGTGTCTGATCCAACTCTTCCAGAGAGAGTTACAAGAGGAAGGTATGCGGATGAGGCGGCCAGTGTCATAGCTGTCAAAGACACACAGTATAAGAACGAAAAAAAAAAGTAAAAGACATGGACCTATATACTTGAGCAAGAATAATACACAGTAGACAGTACCATCAAATACTTTAAACAAACCTAGGTGTAACTATGTAAGCTCCAGTAATTCCGAACCTACATTACGAAAACACTGAGTACATACAGACCACCCAATTTGGGGTACATACTTAATCTGTACTGAGGAACTATGTCTCATTAGAAACATGGTTGTAGAATTAAACAACAACATTCCAGCATCAGGAGCTAACAACGGAAATAATTTATTTAGCATATAGAGGATAGCCAAGCATGCCAATACAAAAGCATTTTACACAGTCCACATAAAGTCAGAGCAGGCTGATGCTGCTCAGATAATCAGACCACTGAATCTGTTTTCTAACATGCCAACAAGACTCTTGCTTAAAAGATACTACCAATAGGTATTAGTGTCAGAAGTGGGACATCGCACTCTTTAGGATCAAACTAACGAATTACAAAAATCAAGCTCCTGGTTAGGTTATAGCAGCTGGTGGCGCCTGAAACTATCGTTCCCTAGCAGTCTAACTAGTCGGTTTGATTGTCAATCAACAAGGTTTATGATTTAGCAGTTCTGTCAACAAGGCTGGCAATTATATTTAAAACATAAAAAACCTCTAATGCAGATGAGTAAGAAATTAGCCGTGATCTTAGCTGATCACCAAGCAAACTCGCTAGCCAAATAAACAAGCATCGGCAATTCGGCAAAACGGCATACTCACACAAATCAGAGATGCGGGAGAACCTGCGCGCCGATCGCAGCTCGTTGGCGCTCCTGCACGCACGAAGCAAGCAATCATGCTTTCAGCATAAGGAACCCACCACCACGACGCAGGACGGCAGGAGTAGATGAGTAATCGACAGGAAGGAAAGGAGAGGGCAAAAAAAAAAAAGCGTGCAGGCAGGAGGAGGCCGTAGTAGTACGTACTGAGCATAGCTCCTCCCCAGTAGGTAGCACCCCGCGCCGGCGCAGCAGCACGCGAGGCCGCCCCACAGGAAGCCGGCGCCGCTGCCGCCACCTCCGCGGCCACCGCCGCCATTGCCTTCGCGGTGGTGCTGGCCGTACCCGTACATTGCGGAGCGCTTCGATCCCCTCTGTTCTCTATCGGAGCAAGCAAAAACCCTATTCGAAACGTGGATGTGATTTTCGAACTCCACGAGAGCTGAGATCCTGGGTGGGTTAGTGCCGGACTGCCGATGGACAAATAATCGGAGGCGCCGAGGCGGTAGCCGTGGTCGAGACGAACACTAATCCGCGGCGGGCATGGTGTTCCTTCTCTGTTACGTTTGAAACCCGCTTTGAACACGGGGAAGAAGAAACATGCGGATGGGCCTTGCTCTCTCGCGCACGTGTCGGGAAGGGCCCTGACTAGTTGGTGCGATCAGCCCAGCCCATACAGTCGTCGTGGAACGCTGAATTCTTACGGACCGAGCCACTGGGCTGATTTAACATGAATGAATACTTTCTTCCCCTCAAAAAAAAACATGAATATTTTCTGTCGGCGATGCCCCCCACACCTGCCCCCCCCCCCCCCACACACACACACAATCGGCGATGCCTGCCTGGAAGCATAGCCAGCAGGTGGCGCGAGCTCCATGCCAAGGACTCCTGGAAAGGACTGCTGGACCCACTGGACATCGACCTCCGCGCGTCCGTCATCTCCTACGGCGAGCTCGCGCAGGCCACCTACGACGGGTTCAACACGGAGGCACGGTCGCCAAGTGGATCCATATCGATATCACTTTAATAGTTTAATTTGGAGAATTTCATTCATTCTTACTATACTGAGCTTAGTTCTATGAAATTTTTATTGATTCTTAATACTGCATTACTGCACATAATTTGCAGAGTGATTGTGCTGTTGTTCGATCCGTGGTACGTACATGACTAGTCTTAAGTCTAAACTAACGTAGGAATACGATGCATGAACATGAACTCACACACGTCATTCTGATTTTAGTGTTCATGGTTTTGAACTCTTTTATACTCCTTTTTGTCTTAAAAAAGAGTTAATCTCGCTTTTAAAAAAATCAACAACTTTTAACTTTGACCAAATATATTTAACAAAATATAATATTTATGGTACATAATTAGTACCAGTAGTAGATCGTTGAATATACTTTCGTAATAAATTTATTTGGAGATATAAATGTTGCACGTATTTTCTATAAACCTAGTCAAAGTTGAGAAAGTTTGACCAACACAATTCCTATAGTGACTCTTTTTTAGGGACGAAGGGAGTATATCCTTTCTACATTCAAATGAAGGGGTTTTTTTCACTGCAAATCTGCAACACTTGTGCCGGGTCTCCACATGGTGGTTACTGACTAAAACTGACAGGACTTCCTCTATCTAATACTCCCTCCGTTTCAAACTATAAGTCGCTTTGACTTTTTTGTTTCATCCATTTTGCTATATATCTAGACATATTATATCTAATATTGTCTACAATACTAATAAGAGTGGCATGACTGAGGCATTACCTTAGCCTTTTCCCTATCACTGCTGGTGGACCAACTATAGGTTCGATCATGGTTGTTTTCTGATGATTAATGATTGTAATAGAAATCAATGGTCCAATTGGCATTGCCTCAGCTACTGCTACGGATTGGCCGATAACTATATATGCTCCCAATGTATTCTGCGGGAAGACACAATGGCATCTCGATGATCTCAGCTAGAGTGTCTCGTTGATTCCTTCCTACAAGCATTTCGGCCTCTGATGTTCCAGCCATCTACCCACGAGAGGGACACCCGGATTAGCTGTCGGATGCACGAAACTCGAAAGCTACATGCCATTTTCCTTGTCTGAAGCAATTGATTATTTGGTTTATCCCAGATTAATTGGCCGATTGATAGCTGCCTAAAAGTAGTCCTCCGATTGAACGATCAATGTACGTAATAACATGCGTGCAGGTTCTTGGGGAGATCAGGAG